GTAGATTGATCTCATCTCCAGTTGTATTGTAGACTATGAAGCCAAATCACATTAAACAAACAATTGTCTTGTTCTATATTTGTTATTTTCTGTTCTGCTAGCTTCTTCTCAACCATAAGTTGATATCAGAACTATAGAACTCTGAGATTTCTGTGCAGTTTCAAAAAAAGAAAAAAAAAAGAAAAAGATTTCTGTGGATTAAACAACAAAGCAATAAGCTGGGCTCTTGGTGGAAGATGACTCAATGACTGTCATTAGGTAGCTGATAAGCCGGGATCATGGTGGTATAGACAAAACATGAGAGAGATATAAGGAGGCTGTCAAGGGAAATGAATGCAAGATTCAACTGGATATAGAAATCAACAAATGGCATGACTGACTCTTTTGCAAGACCAGGGGTACTTAGGGAACAAATGTATTGGGGGCAAACATAAAGGGGTGAAATGTAAAAAGAGGTTGCTTCAGGAAATTCACCTTGTATATAGATTTTTTTTCCCAACAAAATAATACAATCCATCAAAACAAATTTCAGAGCAACATAGATTCATGGCTTTATGGTTTCTTTACAGTGGGTGGGGAGATCAGCAAATACTTTGGCCAATGTGTTAGCCAAGCAAGGGGTAAATAGGGAAGAATTGTTTTGGGCTCGGCTGTGATTCCTGTAATTTTTTCCTAGTTTACTTGTAACTTCTAGGAGAGGCTGCAGCTCGCGCCTCTCCATGGGATGTTGTATGAAATCACAATTCTAAATCAGTTTCTGAATTAATAAAATTTTACTAATATTACTCATAAAAAAAACATTCTTGATTGTTACTGGATTAACATTTTGAGAATGGGAAGAGACCATGTCATTGGTCAACTTAAAATGAAGTAAGCTTCTAATATTTGGTGGGAAACATTGTTAAAAACCTTTTAGGAATTTTCCGAAGTGTTCTTTTGGTTGTCTGAGGTATTATTAGGTGTTTTCTGAGATCAGTTTAGTCTAGCGATCCCTCTGGTGAAAAGGAGTTCATGTTTAGCTCATAATTATTAGGTGATGTCCAAATATGGGCTTAAAGGTTGTTTTGAATGATATGAGAGTTGGGTCTTGTATGTGGTATGCTGATTCATAAATCTATTATGTAATATTGGCGTATTTTTCTGATTATTAATTCTCGGTGATTTTGAATTGGGTGTTGCACATGCTTGATGGTTTTGTTGATTTAACTCTGGCTTAGTTACTTGGTTGGTTCTTAAGTTTGTTGATTATGTTATGGTTCAGTGATTATGGTTGGATAGTTGGTTCTTGTTCGCTAACTCTGGTTTAGGTTTTCTACCTATTGATCTAATAGTTGTTTTAGTTTCGTTGCTTGGTTTAGCTCTGATTTAATACATGATGTTGCATTGTGCTTCTTCATGTTTTGTGGTTATAGCTGGCTTTCCAATGGCCAACTCTAGTATGTTGATCTGGTTTTCTGATTTGAGCATCTAGTTCGTGCTTCTCCAATGATCTGATCTACCATCTACCTGCTCAATGCTTCAGTTGGTTTTTTATTGGCCAACAGCAGTTTTTTTCCTTTTTTTCTTTTACTACTCTGGCATTTTGACGAGGTCCAATATCAGATTCACTGTTTCACGGCCAACTCTGATTTGTGAGCCTCTTCCTTTTTTTGTGGTTTTTTTCATGAAGTCGTTTCTAACATTCTACTTTGCAAACTTAAGGTGGAGGTTATAGGGGTATATATTAGTTGTGTTGATAAAAATTGGAAACATTTGTGTTTTTATGGGTGGAAGAAATGACCTATTGATATTCCTATTATAATTGGGTTTTTTCCTCATTAGGTTATTGATTTTGTTGGATTAGAGTTGTGTTTGAGAGAGAGAGAGAGAGAGGGAGAGATCTGTGCTTCAAGGGTTGTATCTTTTGCTGGTTTTCTTAATAGTGGATTAATCCTTTCATCTCCCACGGGTCTAGGCTATCAACGTGAACCATGTTAAGTCCTTTTGTCTTGTTGTTTATTGTTTATTTTCTATTTCATTATCTTCTTCTCCACTGTAGGTTGATACTTAGGAACTTACCACATTTTAGACAGGACTTTGTTTCATTCTCTCCAACCCCATACACCTTGCTCTGAAGGGGTTAAATGGTAGCCTTTACACTGCCTCGAAGAAAACAACACACACCTCAAGTAATTAATATCAATTGTGAAACATCAGAGAAGAAAACCTATAGTTGTCAAAATGCACATTCAGTCAAGGAGATAATACGGGGAAGGGCTCTCCCTAGTGCATTTTTAATTCCATGTATATCTCCTTTCTTGTTCCAATGCATATGTTACCTTTTCCCAGGAAAAAGAGCTCTAGACATCTAATTGGACATTTTGTGCTCAAATTATCTTATTTTGTACCAAATATACATCTGTCTGACCCATATCTATAGAGGACCTAGCATTTGGCAAAATGTTTCAGTACAGATCAGTTTTCAAGTCAGTTTGGTTGAATATTTATGTGATGATTTTTGCAAGGAGTTTCAAATAGTAAAAGAATCCTAAAAGTCTGGTCAAATTTTTCTCCTCTCTGTATGTCCACATCAAGTGTAGAATGAACACTGAAGACTCCCTCTTAAGGTTGAATGATAAGTCTCCTTTATTTGTTCTCTTGGTTAGAAGTGATAGACTCCAAAAATATCTTAAAGTACCACTTTAATGTATATTTAGTTTTATATGTATGAAGGCATTGAAATAAAAAAGAGCAAATTCATAAGCATACCCTTGGATTCTTTTTAGAAAGCACACATTATGAACCACAAACCTGAATTTGAACCAGTGATTTAAAAGGCACGCCTAGGCGCACAGGCGAGGTGCATTTCAGGGTATGCACCTCGCCTAGGTCCTAGGCGCAGCCCTTTCAAAAGGTGCATGCCTGGTGTGCCTAGGCGTGCGCCGCACCAGGCGTGCACCTTGCGCCTTTTGAAAATTTGGTGCTTTTTTGCTTTTTTTTTTGAACATAACGGCTGGGTCGGGAGCCCCCAGACCCCCGTGCCACGCCCCTCGAAGCAAGCCCAAACAAGTCCACATTAGGTCCTAAATTCTTAGTTTTCACACAAAAAATAATGATTTTATAGTTTTAATTGCTTTTTAAGAAGACATTTTATTAGGATGAATGAATGAACTACATTACCAATTAATGTGGACTTGTTTGGGCTTGCCTTGAGGGGCGTGGCACAAAGGCGGCTTGTAGAATCGGGAACGTAATATGTTTTACATTACATTAGCTATGTGAAGTACTGCATTGCAATTGGGTGAAAAAAGAGATTAGAGATTTTACATGCTTGAAAATGTTTTTTATGTTTGATTTTATTTTTAAATTCTCATTTGAATATGCTTTACATCTTATGTTTATGTATTTTAATTTTAGACAATAGGTTTTTTAAAACATTATTTTAAAATTTAACTTTATATTTTTTAGTAATATTATGTTTAATATTTTTTTTGAATTTTTTGTCATTTCTTGAATTTTCTGACATTTTTTTTTGTATTTTTGCGCCTTGCTTCAAAAAGGCGCACACCTCGCCTTGTGCCTTGCGCCTCAGGCGCAAATTGACCCCTGCACCTTTTTTGTGCCTTGCGCTTTTAAAACACTGATTTGAACAATGAACCAAAAACTAGTTAACTTTTGTCCAACTTTTGGCACATGGAAATTGTATTTGTTGAAAAGATAGTAAAGCTTCATGTAGCGTGGACATATATATGGGGTTAGCTATACACATCCTGTTTTGCCATTCCATTCTGTTTAATGCCATGTCCATTGTTAAACTGTGAGTGCTTACATCATTTCTTACTACTTTGGCACATATCCTTTTTGGTCTGCCCCTAGTCCTTCTAGCCCCTAGTTCTTCTTTAATTTTATAACTTTTCAGTATCTTTATTTTATAGTGCACAATTGTTCTTTGTCAAGAGTTGGCATATTCAAAGCATAAAGGATATTTCTGGTTACTGCACGCTTGCATTAAGAAAAACATACTTTCATAGGTTGTAGCTATGTATATTATGCTACCTAGTAACTGATTTCCATTCACTTGATATTATAGTGCTCCTTACCTAGCCATCCTTGGGGCAACCATCTAGGATGCAAGCATGCTTAGTTCTTCTGGTTATTGTTGGGCTCCTATTTGCCTGGAGCTACCTAGTAACTGATTTTCCATTCACTTCATATTATAGTGCTTACCTAGCCATCCTTGGGGCAACCATCTAGGATGCAAGCACGCTTAGTTCTTCTGATTATTGTTGGGCTCCTATTTGCCTGGAGCTACCATTGACAACCATGTTAGGAGCAACCATTCTAAAACAAGGTTTTTTAGGAAGAGTTCAATGTGTACTCTACAGAAAAATCTTAGAATGTATAATATCTCATCCGTTGCTCTTATGTTAGGGCGTTTACTTTTATATTATATAAATAAATTCTCTTTGGTCTATTTGTGATCAAAATATTTTGAAAAAAATGTCAAGACCAACATCTTAAAAGGCATCCCTAAGCTCACAGGAAAGGTTTGTTTGATGCAGTGTGCCTGCCTCATCTGGCTTTCTCTATGGTTTGATGAATTAACATTGTATTTGATGCTGAATAGGTAATTATATATATAGAATATGTGAAGCACCTTTTTTAGGTAGCTACCCTTGCCTATCCACCACCCGCACATCCTCTTTGGGGCTGAAGCCCTACTACATCTAATTGTAGATTCCATCAAATACTATTAGTACACTTGCTGAAAAACATTAAACTGTTGTTTGACCTTTATGCCATATGTTTATGCCTACTGCAAAGAAAAACAATACTTCGATATACTTATGATGAAATGATCTGTTAACAGTTAAAAGACTTTGTGCTGTGCTGGATATTATTTTCCTTTCATTGAACTACTTGTGCTGTTTGGACCTACTATGTTAATGTTATATAACATGATTTGTTAGTAATAGGTTGGTACTTTTTTGGTCAATTATCTATAAAATTTTATTTGTTAGGGTTCATTTGAAGCTCAAAAAGGATTTGGTAGGCATTATCCAAGTGGGGAAGATCGTATGAGAGCAGGATCTGGGACATGCAACGTCTGTGCTACTCCTTGCTCATCCTGTATGCATTTTAACCAAGCCGCATCCTTCATGGAATCAAGACCTGAGTTTTCGGATGAAACATCTCGTGGAAAGGCAGTTAGTCGATGTTCTTTTAATGATGGTGAAGTTATATGCCCATTCAAGAGAAGCAGCAGAGCATACAATGACAGACAGCCTACAGCTAGTGAAACAAGTAATTTGCTAAGTACCAGTTCAAGTCATGATTCAATCTCTGGAAATGCTGACAGCAAAGCAACTTTGAGAACTTTTGATGTATCTTATGCATCTGAAGATGTTGATATGCTTCTGAAGTCCTCTTCAGGTGGAACTAGTGGAGATGATCAACCTATCTTAAAGTCACAGAGTATTGTTGATCAGACTGGCATAACATCCTCACACAGTCATTTTGCATCAGACCTGGGTCAGAGAACCTTGTCAAACCAGGACGAGGAGCAGAAAGTTTTAGAATGTCATGGTGATAATATTTCATGCGTTAGTAGAGCTAATGATGCAAATGTGCAGCTTGTCAATCTGAATATGGATATAGATAGGAAGAATGTGTCATGTAGTTCAGCTTCATTTAACAGTTTTCCTCAGGAAGGAATCAGAAAAGCACTTAATATTGAAAATGCTTTGAGTTGTGTGGCTGATTTGCATTGTGAAATACAGGATAGTGAGAATAACACTAGGAGGCCAAACATAGTCACCATGGAATCTGTGCAAAAGAGTCTTAACTTTGTAGCCAGTGTGGTACCAACCCGCAAGTCAGATTCATTGGAGATGCCTTCCTCAAAAGATGTCTATCCTAGCAGGGTTTCACCAAAAGTACAGAGTCCATATTCTCATTCTCAAAGTGGTAACTCAGTCTACCATGAAGCAGATGTGAAGGATTTGGAAGAGAATTCCAGTTCACATGCCCAAGGGGAACCATCTGAATGTTCCACGGAACATGTTGAAGCTAGTCTTACCAAAAGTAACTCTTTTCTGGCTTCGGTGAAAATTTATCCATGTCTAGAAGGTGAAACCAACTTAGATAATAGTAGGGATCCATCTGCTGAAACTGTGAAAAGTTCAGACCAAAATCAAAATGTTGAGAAATCCTGTGCATCACGTGAGGTACCTGACATGCATGAACCTGCTTTGCAGTCTGAGCCTGTTGATGACAGTGCTGGCTCAGATATCGTGGAGGATGATGTAAGTCCTTGTTTTGATCTTTTACTGAGATATGCATGTTTTTGCATTAATTGCTATTATTATTCTTTTTAAACTGGAAACTTCTTAGATAATGGTATATTATTTTTTATAGCAATTATCTTCATTCATTTGGAAAAGCATTAATGTTAAGTACAGAAGGTATGTTTTGATAACCGTATCTTGTTTTGATCTCCTCATATTGCTACATCTATCCAGTTCCTTTCTGGAACTTGTTAAACCAGAGTTGGTATTTCTGTATTTTTCCCATCTACAAGCAATCACAATGTAGTGAAGTTACTTTCTAATAGAAAAATAGGGAAATGGAGGGAAACTCTGAAATTAGGTAAATGATGAAGATGAAATTTCAATGACGAAGATATAATCATTCAATATTTATACCGCATATCAAGCTTGCTTTTGGTACAACTTGAGCTGTATGAGAGACATTTCTGATTTAACAATTAAATTTCAATTGGACCAGGTTATATATGTTTAGTGTTTAGATTTCTCTGAGCTCTTGTTTCGAATTTATAAAACGAAGTATTGAGATTTTATTGACTAAAGAATGATAATCTTTTGCTTAGATTTATTACTAAGAATTTTCTTACACAAAGCACTTATGGTGGCATGGCCACTTTAATTTTGTATCCTTATCTGACTTACCTGTTGTTTTGCCAAAGTTCACTTTTCTGTTTCTATTTGACTTATCATATTTATTTAATAATTTTGCCAAAGTTTATCTAGAACACATGAATCAATAAATTTTGACTGTAGCACTGCATCTATCACATGATCTCTCTATTCTCTCTCTCCATTTGCCCCAATTGAATTATTATACACATAAAGGCAGCAATGAATCACACTACTGTTATAGTTATTTTCCATAACAGTACAAAATTTTGTTGTTGATTTTAGCAGATTGTTAGGGACACTAAAGATATCCCTTTTCCCTTGCAAAATTCAAACAGCTGTCATTCCGTTCATAAGAAAATTCATGATCCTTCTAAAATTCCATAATGCATATGGAAAAATAGAAACCCCTACCCTTGGTATCTTGCAAATACCTACAAATAAAAGGGATCTGCATTTACTGCAGAGATTTTTCTGCAACAAATGATTTAGTTCCTCAAGATTGTACTAATTTGTCCATTTCTTGTTTCCTCTCAACTTGGTGGAACTACATTTGTCATCTACATAGGTTACTGATTTTCTTTATGCCATCTGGAAACAGGTAAAAGTTTGTGATATCTGTGGCGATGCAGGTCGGGAAGAGTTGCTTGCCTTTTGCAGTAGGTGCAGTGATGGGGCCGAGCACACGTAAGCACAGTAAATCTATCTGTTGTATTATCTTACAATATGTTTTTGTTAGTTATCTATTATAAATGTGAGAGGATGAATCCTTAAGGTGATATTACCAATGTCCTATTTGCTATCATCAGTTACTGCATGCAAGTAATGTTGGATAAGGTTCCAGAAGGTGATTGGCTGTGTGAAGAATGCAAGATCAAGGAGGAAACTGAAAACCAAAAGCAAGATAAGGTTGAAATTGTATTGGGGTCTTCTAAAGCACCATACTTAAATGAAAAGACTCAAAATCCTGGAGGCATTGACACAGTCAGTTCAAAGGTTTCACTGAAGTTGGATGTGAAAGAGACAGATACCGAGGGAAACAGGATAACCAAAGTGAGCTCAAGTTCATTTGGGTCTGTTAAGAGGCATTCAGACAATCTTGAAGCTGCTTCACCAGCAAAAAGACAGATGCTTGAGACAAGTGTAGCCTCTCCAAAGACATCCAGCCCTGACAAAAAGCCTGTATTGTTGTCTCGGGAGAGTTCATTCAAGAGTTTGGATAAGGGGAAAGTAAAGACACCACATCAATTAGGTCTGCCATCAAGTCACTCTGCTAATAGTTCTCATGAAAATGTACACTCACCTACTACTGGTCCTAGCTCATCAAAGAACCAATCACAACTTCAGTCACCGCGGGGTAATTCTTTAAGAAAAATCTTTCAAGTAAATTTGTTTTTCATCTTTTAGAAACATGCATTTCTTTTTGTAGTGCATCAATTTTCTCATGTTCAAGAATATTTAAAACATGTTGTCTTGTCAGGTAATCTTTTGAAGTCAAATTCATTCAACACCCTAAACTCGAAACCAAAGGTCAAACTGGTGCAGGAAGATGTTTCTCAAAAGAAAAAGGTAGCTAGAGACACTGTGATCAACGATGCGAAAAAGGAGGGTCCAGTCAGAATGATAGGAAAATCTATATCATTCAAAACACCAAGCTCAGGCCGCTTTAATGTGACTGAGTCAAAAGTTAAAATGCTCTCTCATAACCTCTCCTGTGTTGAAGAATTAAAAGGGTTAAAACAAGCTAAAGAATGGGGTTTAATTGAAAGGAAGAATTCCTTCAAATCAGATCGCCCTTTGATCAGCTCTCCGACAGCTGTTTCTAGTGTGTCTACTCCAAAGACTGATCAAAAGGTTACATCTCGTGGTGAAACAACTTCATCACTTACCTCTGCAACCAACTGCCGTGATATGAAGTCTGTTCAGGCTGATGGAAAATTAAATACCTCAGCCAAACCAACCAGTCTTGCAAATAAAGGATCAGAGAATCGAAATGTTTTAGGTAGAATTTTTCTCACTCCTATGAGGATGACAAATAGTTCTTTTTTATGTTACTCACTTTAGTTTTACACTCTTTAATAACTGGATTTCTATTTTTGTGCCCAGCTGGATCGAGYGAAGTTAAGAGGCAGAGTGTGGTTGGAACTCCATCATCCAATGGAAGGTGCAGTTCTACTGAGCAAAAGCCAATCCAAGTTAGTACTCAGGATGGAACTACGTCAAGTTCTTGGACTGCTGATAAATCATGGAGTAAACATGATGCTGTTCCTCATGATGGCTTGCCACAGTCTCCGGAATCCTTGAATCAGGATGCCAAAGCCAGGGAGCTTTTTCCTACAGGTCGTCCAAAGCAGGGTGTCTCAGTAGGAGGTCAAAGTATCCGCTGTCATAAATGTAAAGAATTGGGTCATACAGCACAATCTTGCCCAGTTACTAAGGTTTCTGTTTTTGAAGCTTCTGCAGAAAAAAGTTCAAAAGAGGTAACAGGCAAAAGTTTCAAGTTGAAAGAAGCAGTTAAAGCTATAATGCTGAAACCACCTGGAATGTCTAGAAAGAATAGGTTGCCTGAATGGTTGGATGAGTTATCCATGTCAAGTGCTGATTTGAGCTGTGAAGTTTCTAAAGATCAATTACCAACTACATCGAATTGCTCGAGGAATTTGAATT